GGTATATATTTTACTGGTAAATTGTTACTTTATACTTTATAAAAGTTATTTCAATATGCCTGAAACTCCAGAAAATCGGCCAGTACAGCGTTATGGCACCGTTGCTTTGCTTCAGTATGCCGAGAGGGCTGTTGCAGGCTATAGCTCAATGATATGTTAACTCTTGCCGTACATAGACGCGTTTCGCATTTGTTTTGGCTGATCTGTATCTTGCTGCTCACCAAGAATGTTTCCGCGACCGTGGTACTCCTTATATGCTTAAGCAGCAACGAAGTTACACCTGAAGAAAGTTTTCGATTCTGGCCTGGTAATTGACCATCTGAACATGTTCTTAATGCTTGGTTTAGACATGAAGACGTAAAGCAACTATCCCAAAACTTTACTTCAACACTGTTAAGTGTGCGGTACCATATTTGTTTGGGGTTCTAACATCCTATCGAGAATGTGCTCAGTTAAGAGTTATGTTATGATGTCACACATAAATGTATGTATTTTAGGTGTAGTAATTCTGTTTTCACTGTTATTAAATGTCTGTGAAAACGATTGATTGCAAAATAAGTTTTCCTGACCTGTAAGAATTTCAAATGAATAACTGTCAGACTTGGATTGTGACAGTGAATATAAGATAACCCGCCTCCGCATTATTCAGCGTCATTCGTGGTATGCGCATCTGGACGCTGATGGGCATTCTGAAGATTTGGAAGTTCTGTACGGTTGACTGTCGGCGACACGATTATTCTGCCGAGCCCTATTTTGGCTGAGTTACTCGCGTTTCTGATGTTGGAATGAAACACTCGCAAAACAACTCCCTGGTTATCAGACACCGGAATATGATAACGAGAGGCTGATGTGCAGATTCATGCTGTCTCCTTTCCGGCTAAGCAAGATCTACGCGAACTTCTTACGAACGTCCTACGAATGGCATCTATGAGTTGGCCGAAGTTCTCGAAAGATCACTTGCAGATTGGATAGCTTGTTTCGCCAAGCATTCATTTGTACAGCCCACTTTTCCTTTCGAGGTGTAGTTTCAGTAGCTCCCAAAGGCTTCTCGAATGATCCTGGTCTTACTTATTTGGGGTATTTTCTACAAATTGAATTCTTAGGCGTGCCTCTGCCGTTGTTCAACATATTCTTGTCGTGGTGCCCTCGATCTGTCCGTTTGTCATATTTCATGCAGCTAGTCCAAAGGAATCTTTGTGAATGTCTCCTGCGCATCGTGAACACGGTC